GTAATGGAACTATTCGATACAAATCACAACAGTGAAGAATTTGAAAAGTTGTTGTTTAAGAACGCTTCACCTCAAAAGGTACTTGATAGTCCTGTTGAGTTTTATAGGACTCAACATCAGGCGGTACAACACAACGCCACAGATTTTGTTCATACATTGATAGGCAGGGATTCTGATGTTAGCAGCAAGAGAAGGCCACCCTACGCTGTGCGAGCTTTTGATTTCTTTAGGGGAAAAATGCGACATTTCAAATGCAGGACACGAGACAACACTCTTGCTTGCAAGGAAAAGTGGGATTAAAAATGATGCAGAGAATTTGATATTGGATGAGCTTGCAAGAAGGTGATAGTCCGGTAAAGAAGCACACAAAAATGCGGTAGAGGATCTCCACATCAAAAAATGCTGAAAATGGTGGGGGCTGCCAGGATTTTGCAGTGGGGGAAGTCGAGCAAGAGAAATGTGATTTGTAGGAGGGCGGAAGTCGGGGCTAGTGACTCGTTCAGATGGAACCGCCGGAGGAAATTCAATACTGACGAGCCCGGGCTGTTCCATGCCGTAACTACAAAGCAGAAGGAGCTGCATTTTGTGTGTGAGGTTGGGATTGAAATGGGTGAGCTGTGGGTAGGAGGGATCAAGCTTTTATCATATTTAGAGTTATTTTAGAAAAAACCAGGGTTTAATAAAGAGTAAAGATCCAAAAACCAAAGATCTTTAGCACATAGGGCGCCACAAAGACAAATCCAAGAACAACATCAGCCAATTTTCCTTCAAAAATTCACAAACCAACAATCCAAACAAACATCAGCAACATTTTTTATATGATCAAAAAACACAAAAACAAAAAGAAAGATTGATAAACAATTATATGAAAATCCAAACGGGAGATTTCTCGATCGATCTGCATAATCACCTGTTGAATCACCTGTTGAACCACCTCCTAGTGGCTTCTCCATGGTTTACAAGACTGCGAATGTAATAGATAAACTAAATTTACATATCTGCAGAGGATAATGATTCCGCACCCAATCATTCAATAAAAAATTAAACAAATTTATAAGATTGGGAACAAAATGAAATTGATACAGCCGAGAGCACCGTTTTCGAACCTGAACTTCTTGAATCAGGCATCGCGGCGATGACCCAACTGAAAATGATGAACGGATTGCTGCAAATCCTTGTATAAATCGCTTGCGGTTGCAGACATTCGAGCGTTCAAAGAAGAAACCATGGAGAACGCGAAGAATAAAAGGGAGGTGAAGGCGCGTTCGCCATTGGTTTCATGGGAATTTGGGAGAGGATTTGGTAGAACAGTCTTTTTTAGCGCAGAGGATTTTGCAGAGTTATCTGTTCGCCGGAATTTGGAGAACGTGGTAGTGAGATGCGAGCGTGGCTTTTCTTTTCTAGTTTTTTTTCTTTTTTCTTTTTTTTCTTCCCCTTTTCTGGGTTTGACTTGCGGCAGTTTGGAGATGGAGATGGCAGCGTCGAGGGTGACAACAGAGAGACTTGACAATGTTAAGTTGGGTTCAGTGAGCGGAGAAGTATCAGAAAGATTGGAGGGCACATTCTTTTTTAGGTGCACAAGGTTAGAATTACTCTGATTGAGATAGAATTTAGACGCGTTGATGGACTTTATTTTTATTAGAAAATGGTATAAATGTGTAACACATTATTCTTTAATAAGATACAAGACTGTTTAAGTATGAGTGAATTATGATATATGGTGATTTTTTTGTTGGAAATTGTTAATAGCAATTTCCTTTTTATTTAAAGAACAATATTTTATATTTAACGAAAATAGGTTAATCTATAGTAACACAAATATTCAATAAACATATTAAAAACAAAATTACACATTTGACCAAATAAATATAGCAGCTCATACATAGAGATCAATAATATTAAAATTACATGCCACCGAAAAAATATAACAAGTCTTGCATGGAGAGATCCAAATATTAAAGTTATACACCATTGAATAAATATAACAAGTCTTGCATGGAGAGATACAAATATAAAAAAGTAGCTAGTAGCCTAGTAGGAAAAGACGACTATTGTTCTAATACATACAAAACAAGAGGAATGGACCAGACATTTTGCGGATAACTAGCTCTCTCTCCATCTTTCTATTGATCTGAAAATAACATTAGAAGAGAAAATAATTAAAAATAATTATTAATAAGATACTCATACAAAAAACAAAAGAAAGAAGTAACTAAAAAACATTGTTTTAGCGGTAGTTTGTCTAATTTTGTGTTGCCTATTGTAGCATTTGTAATTTTTTCAGTGTATTTTGTATTTGAGCAACATCAACCGCTCCTATATTATATATGCAAATCATAGTAAAATACGAAACACGTGTGGTGTACAGGTATTATTCGGATTTTTATTTTTTTTTTGAAATTTGTATACATGTATAATATTTGTATAAATAATTTTGAGGCTAGAGATATATTCTAAAAAAGATGAACATGAATTAATTAAAATGATTTTTCTATAAAATAATTATAAGAAGAAAGCATAAATGTAAGATCCCACATCGTCCAGGGGAATGATCCTTATATGTATATTCCCAGCCCTACCTAGCACAAGGCCTTTTGGGAGCTCACTGGCTTCGGGTTCCGTAGAAACTCCGAAGTTAAACGAAAAGCGCACAAGAGTACTCCCAGGATGGGTGACCCATTGGGAAGTTCCCTAATGAAGAAGATATTTTGCACAATATGGGAGCAATTAGCATTGTATCGTCTGATTCACAGGCTATGGGTCGCATCGAAGAGGTTCTTATTGTTGGAACTTGTGTTTTATGTGGGACTTGGAGTCCCACGTCGTCCAAACCTTCTTTGAACATCACCTTTATAAGTCAGTGAACTCACTTATAGTTTGAATTGAATTGGGCCAAAGCCATGGACCTTGGGCCTTAGACTTAGAGGGTTTGAATGTATATATTAAGTCAGTGAACTCACACAAGTTATGTTTTTGATTTTTTGGATTCAGTTTTTTCCCAAAGGATAAAACTGATTAAACAGTTACATTTGGTTTTTATTATTTAAAAACTGATAAGCATGAACGGTTATATTTGTTCAATTTATACCATTATATATATGGCAATAAAATCAGAAACCGATCATCAAATTTTTTTTTCCTTCCTCCATATTTCACAGAGAAACGCTCAATCAATTCGCCAAGAATCCAAGTTCGTGTGCAAGAACTTAAGAACTTGGATTAGATAGTTGTATCCTGCAAGATAGACGTCCATTTGAACTACTGCACTGGTGTAGGGGCGTATTTCTGTCTTAGGAGATTGATACTGCAAGCCTCTATCTTCCTAACCAAGTCAGTGTTTTGTGGTTTATTAATTCAGTTTTATTAATTGTTTATATTGTAAGATATATATATATATATATATATATATATATATTGTATCCTTGTGAAATTTCTATTCGAAATAAACTGTGCAATTGTTGTATAATATATACTTAACATTTGATTGGTTCTAACACTTATTACCTTCACCTATGCATTCTGGTTACTTCTGATCATAGAAAAACTTTTATGAATTGTGATACCTGCCCGCATATGTCTGTTTGTATCAACTTCATTGAAACTGTAACAAAACAGTAACAAAAAATGAAAACAGAAAGACCTTATTCGAATTGAATTATAGAACATTATCATTGTCGCCTTTTACCAAACCATGGATTTTTATGCCTTCACTTGAAAGTCTCTGTTTCTGGTGTTAGTAGTAGCCTTTGTCCACTCTTAATAGACAACCAAAATATTTCGTTTCAAGCTTTTTGTAACCTCTCCCGTTTGGGGCAGAGCATTTGAGAGTTAAGCTAAATGCTTTGAGCTTCAACCTTTTTGAATATGTAACTTTCGTGGATGAAACTTACCTCTTTTGAATTACTTGCGTTTCGTGGACTCTATAAATACTGTTATTGCCATTAAAATAGCGGAATTCTCATTCTTCTCATGGGCTTTGCATGTTGTGCAGGTGGGGAAGCTGGCTGATCTTGTTCTATGGAAGCCATCGTTCTTTGGCGCAAAACCAGAATTGGTGATCAGAGGTGGTGCTGTTGCATGGGCGAATATGGGTGATCCAAATGCAAGCATCGCCACACCTGAATCGGTAAAGTTTATAGTTTACAACAATTCTTAGGCATGGATGCATTTTCTTGTCACGACAAATCTTTTGCATGGTTGATGAAGAGGGTCCGAAAGGATTTGGAGACAGCAGTAGATATTCGTCTGGGATGTGTAATAATTTTAGCGATTTTTGTTCTGATTACTCTAGAAAACCTTATGTGTTAGCAGGTTATTTCAAGGCCTATTTTTGGTGCATTTGTCAACTCAAGGCTGGTAGTACTCATTCCATTGCTTTTGTCAGCCAGGCATGGATCTTCTCTCTCTCTCTCTCTCTCTCTCACGAGATTCATTAGCAAGACTGATTCTCTTTATTTCACTGTGAAAACAGGCAGCTGTAGATAATTGGGTTGAAGATTTGTATTGCCTTGACAGGAGAGAGGTTGATCCGGAAACATACACGGTGACAGCAGACGGCATGGTTCTTACAGCAGTCCAGCCACCACAGTTCCCCTTTCTCGGAACTACTTCATGTTTTAGGCTCCTTCATAGTTCCTATGAACCACCTCTCCCAGTTGTATTATAATTCAAAAGTCCAATGAGCTCAAACAAACACCGGAAATATGTACAAATAGAACCAGTTATAAACTTTCAAGAAAAAAAAAAAAAAAATGCAACGGGAGGGCACGAACCCGTGTTTTATTATATGGCTTGATGTCTGTTAAGTGTCCCGGGGTTGTACATGTGCATATTTTCTAATAAATGTTGATTCGTTGACATTTTTGTAAGACACAACCTTCCTGAGTTTGATATATAAGGATCCTGTTCTTGCATGTTCTTCTAATGTGAATCTATATATTTGGTCGATCATAGAAAATCTATTAAAATAAACCAGCAAGGAGCCTAAAAAGGGGTAATCATGCAAGTGAATGTTCTTGGTCTCCAATTAATGTCTTTCACAGTGGATCTGCTGGAACAAAAAATTAATAATATAGAAATAATTAAGAAAATGAAAATTAGTTTATTTTATGGATAAAAAAATAAAATAAAATAAGAACCCTAATAGTGGTAGCAGCTCCTGCAGCTACAACTCCCCTCCTAATCTTCCCCACCAGCTTCCCACCGCAAACACTTCAACTGAACCACATCCACCCCCCCCCCTCTTCTTCTCTCTCTCTTCTCTTCCCTCCCTCATTGGATCCAGATTTGTGGAGTATAGCTTGGAGATTTAGAAGTCACCAATTAATTGAAAATCCAAACGGGAGCTTTCTCGATGGAATTGCATAATTCACGGCACCTCATCCTGGGGTTCAGGCAACAGAGGTGGGCTGAGCCTTCACTTTGCGGTTACCTGGCTGTTGAAACACCTCCAAGTGGCCTCTCCGTGGTTTACAAGAGTGCGAATGTAATAGATAAAATCAATTTACGAATTTGCAGAGGATAATGATTCCGAATCCAACAATTCAATCACAAATAAATAAATTTACAAGATTAGGAACAAAATCGATGAAATTGATTCAGCAAGAGCACCGTTTTCGAACCTGAACTTCTTGAATCAGGCATCGGCGGCGGTGACCCACCTGAAAATGATGAAGGAATTGCTGCAAATCCTTGTAAAAATCGCTTGCAGTTGCAGACCCTCGAGCGTTCAAAGAAGAAACCATGGAGAACGCGAATAATAAAAAGGAGGTAAAGGCTTCGAACTCGCGCTCGCCTTAGCCATTGGTTTCATGGGTATTTGGGAGAGGATTTAGTAGAACGGTCCATTTTTAGTGCAGAGGATTTTGTTAGTTATCTGTTCGCCGGAATTTGGAGACGGTAGTGGTGGGATGGGAGCCTAGCTTTTCTTTATTGGGTTTGAATTGCGGCAGTTTGGGGTGGAGATGGCAGCGTGAGTTTTGATAACAGAGAGACCTGACTTGACAGTGTTTAGTTGGGTTAGTTGGGTTAACTGTGTGCCTGATTTTATTCAAATCATGGTACAAAAGGGTAGCATTATTCTTTGAATAAGATACAAGAACGTTTGAGTATGAACGGATCATGATATATGATGATTATTTTTACACAATGATGTTATATATATTTAACGAAAAAGGAATAAATTATAGTAACACAAATATTCAATAAACGTTACACTTACACAACTAGTAAAGACAAAATTACATTCTTGACCAAATAAACATAGCAAGCTCATACATAGAGTTCAAAAATATTAAAATTACATACTACCGAATAAATATAACAAGTCTATGTTAAAAAAAATAAAATAAATATAACAAGTCCTACATCGAGCGATTCATAATATTAAAATTACACACCACTGAATAAATATAACAAGTCTTGCATGGAGAGACAAATATTAAAACGTAGCTAGTAGCAAAGATGACTATTGTTCTTATACATTCAAAAGAAGAGGAATGGACCATGCATTTTGCTGATAACTAGCTCTCTCTCCGTCTTTCAACTGATCTGAAAATAACATTCGAAGAGAAAATAATTATAATAAGATACTCAAACGTTTAGTGAAGATGAGATATTAAATAGTATGAAACTAACTGGTTTTATACATGGTTTCTTTTTTGCTTAAAATGAATTTTCAAAAAATAAAAAATAAAATAAGGATTACATTTCATAGATTATGTGATATAGACAATGGTGATGCTTCTTTCTTTCAATGTGGTATGAAATCTGTGGATAATAGTGTACCCAACTTGGATGAAAGGCCATTAAAGACAATTTTCTCATTGATTTTTTTGTGGGCATCTCGGCGGCAAAAGAGCTCATTTGAAGTCTTCCCGTTATTGTTATTATTAATTTTTTTTTAGCGACACCGTTGGTGAGGGACTGCATGAGCTCGAATTCTGTTAATTTAATAATCTAATATCTAATTTAATAATTTTCTATTTGCCGTGAGCCTCGTATTTATAGGAAAAGTAGGGGCCTAATTTCCGACCTAACATCCCATCATGCTTATAATAATAAGCTAAAAACCAAACCTGCCAGAGAAGCCAGAGTAAGTCTAGTGGCCATCCACATATTTCATAACAGAACATACTTTAAATATCCAAATTTTAGTAGTTTCATGTGATATAGTTCCAAAACCGAACGCAGATGTTAGCTATGACATGTACCGTCTGGTCTCAGTTGTCAGATATGACATGGATAATCCGATTCCAGTTGTTAGATATGACATAGATCACCTGGTCTCAACCATTTCGAAATTTTAGGTTAAACAATAATAGGACCGCCAGAAAAAGATTGAATGAATAAAGCATTGGACTATAAAATTCAGTTTGCAGTCGCAACTAGTCGGTGGTGGGATGGGAGCGTGGCTTTTCATTACTGGGTTTGAATTGTGGCAGTTTGGGGATGGAGGTGGCAGATTGAGGTTGATAACAGAGAGACTTGACGAGTGTTAAGTTGGGTTAAAATTGAGTGGACAAGTGTCGCAAGATTAGAGAGGCCATATTTTTTTGAGAAGAAATTTTTCAATGTGATCGGAATACAGGTGATACATCATATGTTACTATACAACTGATAAGATATGTGTTAAAAAGTTAATAACTTTAAAAATAAAATTTCTCACCACTTATATAAATATACATGGTGTACCTCGTATTTCGATTACAATGAAAATTTTCTACTTTTTTTAGGTGCAGAGATTTGAACTACTCTCTAATAGAAATGTAACTCATATGTGTTGGTGACTCCACAAGACACAAAGATGTATAAGGATTAGCAAACTGGATTTATGATATTTGATGATTTTTTTATACAACAATATTTTATATTTAAAGAGAGGGAGATAATTTACGGTAGCACAAATATTTAATAAAATTTACACTTACACAAATATTAAAAACAAATTTACACACTTGACCAAATAAATATAGCAGCTCATACTCATATATAGATATCCAAAATACTAAAATTACACACTTCACCCATATGGAGATATCCAAATATAAAAACCCCAGCTAGTAGGAAAAGATGACTATTGTTTTAAGGGGTGTGCTATCCACACTCCTTATTTTACTTTTCACACACCCCTTGTTAATTTCTATCCGTTGATCTTTTTTAATTAATCCGATTCGACGTCCGAAAACCAAAAAGGTGTGGGAGAAGTAAAAAAGGTATGTGGATATCACACCTCTTGTTCTAATACATTTAAATTAAAAGGAATGGACCGGTATTTTGTTGATAACTACTCTCTCTCCATCTTTCTCTTGATCTGAAAATAACATTAGAAGAGAAAATAATTAAAAATAATATTAATAAGATACTCATACAAAAAACAAAAGAAAGAATTAACTTAATTGATGTGTGTGGGACATGTTAACCTATTTTTCAGTAGTTTCCCGTGATATAATTCCACATGTCAGATATGACATGGATTGTGTAGGTTCCAGTTGTCAGATATGACATGGATAACCCAATCCCAGTTGTCAGATACGACATGGATCACGCGGTCTCGGACATTTCAAAATTTTAGGTTAAGCAACAATATGACTGCCAGAATAGGATTGAAGGAATAAAGCATTGGATTATAAAATTGGGGTGCAAAGATGCCACGCAGCGCGATCCAGTAGGTAGCCCACACTAAGCCAAGCCCTACCCAGATAATGAAGCGGTATAGAAGTCGGGCAGAGAGGACAAAAAGTCCAAACCAAACAACAGACAGCGCTGCTGTGGCCACAACAAAGAAAATGTAGAAAGGGGGAAGGCATGTGCAGTTATTCAGTTTGCAGTCGCAACTAGCCACATTGGCGGAGGGAAGTCTGACAAAGTAGCTCGGATCCACCACGAGGGGAAACAGAATGGTAGCTAAGGCTGAGAGGATGGTCAAAGTCTCGCTTAGATGTGGTTGCGGATATGGAGGCGGATTTGGAGGTGGATATGAATGAGGGTTTTGATTTTCATTTACCGCCATAGAGTGGTGCTCAAAAGAGGCGGCTAGGAGCAGGAGGAGGGACTGGGAAGTGGGGTTAAGGGTTGTTTTTTATACTACTGCGGGTAGTGGATTTTGGAAACTATTTGGACACAATCTTTCCTTTTTGTTTTTTTTTAGTATATATCGATACTTTTATACTAAAGAGATGGAAAGTTCGACTAAGCCATACTGTAATACTACTGAGTGGCCATTCAGACAAAATCTTAAATAAAGCATTTTATTCGGCCAAAGAAAGGTTTTTTTGTTGTCAATGATTAAGAAAGCTTTAAATAAAGGATACTTTGGGGAAATTTGGAAAAATAATCATATACGCTTAATGACAAAAACATTCATCTTTACTGTTCTTTTTTTTCTTCGAACAAATGATATTCTCTACACTAAGGGGGAGGGGATAGGTTTAGCCTCACAAAAGGACTAGCAATAATGTGGTTCAAAACTCGCTTTTCGCGAGAATCGAACCTAAGACCTCTCACTTATAAGTGAAGAGGAGTACCGCTAAACCGTAGTACTAAAAACAACAATTAGTTGAGATCTTGAAGCATATAAGAGGTATCCTCTTAAACACTACCCAGTACCCCTACTCCTATATGTATATAGATAAGGAGTAGATATAGATATTCAATTGTAATCAAAGAACATGAAAATTGAAGATAACCTAGTAAACTAAACGTAAAAATGAATCAGGAACTGAATCTCCGAAGCAAAATTTAAATCTAAAAATAGAGGAGCAAAAACCCTTTTAAGCTAAAATATGTGTGAGGTTTTTTGCTAAACTGGTGTGTGAAAATATAAAGCCAATAATTAGGGGTGGAAAAAATTCCCGAAAATCCCGAACCGAACCGAAAAAATCCCGATCCCAAACCAAAAATTTCCCAAACCGAAATTTCCGAAATTTTCGGGATGCTATCCCGAACCAATCCCAAAATTTCGGTATGGGATTCGGGATTGGCTTCTTGATATTTCGGGAATCCCATACCAAACCGAAAATATATAATATTAATTATTATATATATTTATACATATATATATTATTCTTTTATAATTGATGCTAGTAGTTTCTAATTCATGCTCAGCAACCTAGAATGCCCTACACCTTGCATATTTTTCATGTTCTGTTTGATATTCATGTGGATTTTATTATTGCTGTTGCAATGGCTGATGATTTCAGAAGGCTTGATTCTTTTGTCTCTCAACATATTGCAAAAAGAGTTTAATTAATTTGAATTTTGACTATGATAAAAAGAGTCAAGCATGCCAGTGTTCAATTAAATGGTAGTGTGAATGAAATGAAATTCCTAGTTCATAAATGTGTTCTTGAATTATATATTTGAAGAATAATTCATAATTTCATATTTCAATTTGGGATTCCCGATTTGTCCCAAAATCCCGAAAATATTTCGGGATTCCCGAAAATTTGGTTTGGGATTGGTCTTCAAATTCCCGTCCCGAAAAATTTCGGTTTGGGATTCGGGATATTAGTTTCGGTATGGTATCCCATACCGAACCACCCCTACCAATAATGTAATAAATCCCGAATAATATAAAAGTCAATATTGTAATGAATCCCGAAGAAAAGCATTCATGTCATACGCTGGAATGGAATCTAATTGGATTCTTGCAAGTTTGGTGATTGTGACCCATCCCACCACACCGAAGGATTCGTAATATATTCACCAACATTGAAACATGAAAATCATTAAATTTTTTACTAAAGCCATGATCTAAAATATCAAAAAGTTGATTTAGAAATCAGAAGCTACAATTAACGAGTGTACCATTGTTTATTGGACAAATTGAAAAAGGCTGCTGCTCCATGTTACATTTTTTTTTGGGTGAAAACGTCCATGCTGCTTAATTATGCAAAATCAAAGGGTGCTCTTCTGGTTTAAGGTGAGAAACAAGAAGGTTGCAAGAAAGTTTAAGGGAGGTTTTGTTTTTGTTATGAGAAATTCTAATATTTAAAGTGTATTAGTACTTCTACGTCAAATTTTGGTTAAAATTATTATAAAATTAAAATAATGACTGTAATTTTATATGAGATCTCATGAATGATTACTTTTCCAAATTTCTTGATGCTTTGGACA